TTGATTTTTGGCCGGACTTTTCTGCGTTTTGGGCCCCCAGCAACGCCCGTGATGACATCGCCACCGCACTACACAACACATGCCGACACACACCCTCGACACGAAGAAAATGGCATCGACTCTGGTTTAAGGTGACAGCGCGTTCGTTTTTCTGTAAGCTATTTTGTTTTTTCTCTGAAAAATCGCATGAGAAAGAAACCCTTTTTGATGTGTAGTCACGCTGTTGGCGTGAACATGTGCAGAATTGCTGCATCCCATGTGCCATGACCGAAGTCGGCTAACCGAAGATATCCTGAAAGCCATTCAGTTTTAGTTCCTCTCTTCCTCTCTGAATTCGAACATTGACCTGCTGCTGTACATCTACATGCTCGCCGGGGGAGCTGAGGGAAATGAGCGCCGGTAATTTTGCAATTTTTGAAGTCCCGATTCCCCGACCAAATGCCAACAACGAAGGATCTGCAATCTGCCACGACCGGCTCTTCGACGCTACTATCGGCATCATGGTCGGCGTCGATCCAGCATTCAGTCAACATACGGCATGCAGGACGAACCTTCGTGATATGAACTCTTACGCTGACGTGAATGGGTATATGCTAACATCCGCAGACCGGCCGAATATTCGCAGCAGGACTCTTGAAGCGCACGCAGCGGGACATAATATCGTTGCTTGTATGCATAGTTACCAAAGTACCTGTAGTAGACCACAGTTAGTGCTCAGCATAGTATGCTGCTGTTCCGTAAGCGGAAAACATACAGGCGATTTGAAAGGACGACAATATGCTAACGAATACATCGCTTCTCTGCACAACCTCGCCACGCTCGTGTGTCTTACAGTACGTTCTGCACGTGCTCGTTCTGCAACGGAAATCTGCCACGAGTAGATCGGCAGCCACAACAGCTGAGCGGCGAATCCCGCGGGGAGTTCGAGGTGTGTGGCAGGACAAACACACACGTTAGTTTTGGTCTCGATGGAGAGGCAACATGCTGAAGGCGGACTACCACAGAGCCGTGGCGCTGTGCAAGGCCAGCATCGACGGTGGTTTCGACCTCACAACTTCGCATTCCAGCGCGGAGAGCTTGCCCTACGATGCTCTTCAGAGCCTTCGAAGACAAATGTTCTCCAGGTGACACCCTGACGGTTGCACCCTCAAATGCCACCCGTTTGTCCACCCCGAGCTTCATGCACAGTAGCCTGCATGGTCGCTCACACCACTCTGGAGTGTTCAACAAGAAGCCTCTACCCGATAAGTTCAGTCTGCGGCTGTTCAGTCAAGGGTGTGGCGTTGAAGTGGAGCATACACGAGCGCCTGGCCTGTTTCAAGCCCGCAGCACGGTGAACAAGGTCGCGGGGTGGGAATCAGAGGCGAATTTTGCCATCCATTGTTCGCTTATCTTGGCGTGTGTGGCTCTTTCAGTATGGAAACAGCACTTTACCCATTATGCCACGTACATTCGTCTGTTGACGCGAACAGCCTGTAGTAGAACGAAGTTCGTGAGTGCCAAGGTCGTTGCGCGCGTGCTCCTGTGGTTTTTCGGTTCCGCCTGGCAGGCACATCCGCAAGGTGGATTGGCGATGCAAACAACGCATCGAGGAGTTTCTGTGAGTCAGTCCAGTTTGAATTCGCGTCCCGCAAGGAGTCTAGACTGTTGGTAGCGGGGTTACAGTAAGACGGCAGTAAAGCAGAAAGCACTCTGATGAGGGTACCGTGGGTGTTCGCTGAGAGATGGGAAGCGAGACAACCTACAACTAATTTTGATGGGTTGACCACCGACTATACGTCAAGTATCGTACCTCGGTGACCATCAGAACAACGAGATGACGCATTCTTCTATCTTTGCTACTGGTCATCTCGAGGACCGAGGTTTCATGGTAGATCATAAACGTGGCATACATATGCACGGGCACTTCAATGCCACTCATGCCGTCCATTCCCACCGACCGATGGCAGGACCCAATACCGGAAAGGTTCGAGGATCATCGATATCGCCAGGCAACCAGGCCTGCGCTATTCCCCTTACTTGATGGCGAGAATCTTGGTCGGAGCTCTTGAGCCAGGTGTGCGGCAGACGCTCTGCCCTCCATCTCCCAGGCTTCCCAACAGCATTGACTGTTTGTGAGGCAGACATTCCAAGGAGCATCATTAGGATTTGGTTTCGGTTCTGAAATCAAGACCACGGCATCTTGAAGGCACGGGCATTGCTGTCACGGTATGGCGCAAAAAGTACACGGTGTTACGTGCCTGATGCGTAAGGGACCTTAGATATCCGTTCTTCCGACATGTGATTTTGCTGCCGTTCTCACGGGCTGTGCTGATTCGGACCGATTGAGATGGTGTCGAGTCTGGGTTTTCTTTATTGCTCGGTGGCAAACCGTATTTCGTTCTTGTTCCCTCTGCATGCAAAGGGGCTGCTATAGCGCAGTTGATGCGAACGCCTTCTCTTATCTTGGACGAGCGGTTACGACGCGAGGTGGAGGAGTGCATATCTGGTGACAGGGACTACTCGCCACACCTGGACAGGGTCAGGAGAGGCGTGGGAGCCGAGTACGAGTTCATTTTGCAGCAGAAGCTGCGCGCCAGGTGACTTTCTGAAAGTCCTATGCTCTTCCTCCCTTGTCATTGTTGACAACTCAGGTGCGCTCGTACCTATCCCACCGGAGCCCTTTTCTCACCTGGCATATAGGTATAGAGAATATCAACTTGCGGACACTAAACTGCTCCGTAAGTAAATCGCGTCTGAGCTCGCAGCCTAGTATAACATCGCGGAAAGAAGAAATTGTGAGTGGTGAATGGCAGACAAAACCACACCTTCGCCCTCGGTCTCAGTCCCGCCGTCGCAATGTAGTTGTCGCCGGTGACACATCGGCGTTTCTTGGTGCCGAAAGGATTGTTTGTCGGCTCAAAGCTGCTTGTGTCCTGCACTCTTGTTCCGCGTTTTTGTCTCTGTCCACAAGTGTTTGGGGATGCTTTCTACGAGTGTGCATCGTCGAACGTGCTGTTGTTGGAAAGTATGCAAGTGAGGAAGTCGGTTGTGCTTCATCGTGTACGAGGAGTGCTTGTGCGAGGGTAGTTGAGGAAGCGTCGCATGCAAGCTTGAAGCATCCACGTACAAGCCGAGTAGGCGCTTTACCTTTGCAATGGTGAGAATGGCGTATCACGTGAGAGCGACGGCGATCCGGTGCTTTGTTATTTTCCTTCACCACACGCATCCAGACACTTGACAAACTTTGTTTCGTTCCACATCCAAAGACAAGGGCAGTGCAAGCACGCCTATCTTCCCCCGCCCGGCTTTTCTGCATGACGTCAACCTGTATGTCGATGTTGTGGCCGTCTCGACCTACCCCGAGGTATCCAGAAACTGTTGTGTGTGTGTGATGCGAACCGCTGAAATTCATCAACCGCACTGCGGGTATACACAGGGGGGTCGCCTTCGAGTCGGAGTCGGATCTGAGACAGAAAGGCGCATACAAGACCCCGGACATGCTGCTACAGACGCCGATGGCGGTCAAAGGACCTAGAAACGAGGCAAGAACTCGTTTCGGAGAAGTATTCCCCGGCACGCTGCATTTCTCATTGTACCATTCGTGCCTCCGCACGCATAGAGAGCAGCAGATGGAGCGGGGTGCACCAGCGCATCGACAACGATTGGCAGGCCTCTCATTCCTTGACCTTCACTCGCGTCCATGGTTGCTAATCTCCCCGGCCGTGTCCGCCCTCCTCTTCATACACGATAAGAATGTTCTCAAGGGTGAAACAAGCATGACTGATAACTTCTCAGTTTCGATTGTTCTTGTCTTATCAGCATTCTAGTGCAACGCATGCTCGTTCTTCAGGGAATGACCCCCCCCTCTCTTTCGGCGTTTTGTCGCAGTGGGTGGTCGTGTCTTGGATCGACAGCAAAGCCATGTTCGGGGATGAGCACACGTATGTCCAGGAGCATCAATCGCAGCTTCTCAGCTACGTCAACAGGTGCGCGAAATTCGGCGTCACCACAGCTCTACAACGACTGCGGCCTCTATGTCTCGCTGTCTAACGAGAGTCAAGATGCTTTTTTCTGTTTGCTTTTGCTTCCGCGGTCTGCATACCACTGCTGTGGCTGCGAGCGCCAGCATTGTTTGCGTAGCTCTCATGCCCTGTTGCCTTCGCCACTGGGTGGGTGCGTCTACTTCTATTCGCTCACAACCCCATCAACCCTGCCGGAATTCATGCTTGCTTGCGGCCGGCGCCACATCGCAAGGGGTCGAACAGGGGCTATCAGGGCTTCTACCTTGTCCCTGACCTGCCCCCGCTGTCCTCTACGCCAGCAGCTTCAAAATTTGTAGTCGCACGAGGTTCCCTGGAGGGTGAAGCTACTATCCGCACTTCACAGCTGGTTATTCACTCTCTGCGGAAGCACAGCATCGTTCAATGGTCAGCGTTGTGTACTTGCCTTTTTGACATCACTCGACCACGTAAATGCTAGTGGTTGCATTATGGCTCACAGCAGCGGCAGGAGGCAGGTATTAATGGGTAGCTCGGATTCAACTGCCGCAGCGTTCGGCAAACCTCGCTTTACAACTAGGCGTAAACCTCAGGGTGCATGCTTTCGTCCGCAGCATCGTGGATCACACGACAACTATTTCCGAACGGTATCAACCAATCATGGATGATCACACGAAGTGTTTTTTTGTAACGCACGGTGCTGTGTATGTGTGTGGGCACGTTGTTGTCTTGGCAAAGGTACGGCCCTGGGCTGGTGATCTACTGGTTTGGCTATGTGGAGACCCTGGTATCTCCGGAGTTCGACGGCTACAAGAAGGATATCATGGTCAAGGCGGACTTTCCCTGCCCAATCATGCTCCCTGACGGCCAAGTACTCTAGTGCATCTAGCGTGCCACATTTGAGGAGCGTTTCGACGAGCGGGAGGGACTGGTTTATTGCATATTCTGACGGGGGTGGTTGTGTCTTTGTATGTCGGCATCTGGCTCTAGATCTCCGAAATTATCAGGGGAAACTTTATACATTTTGTAGGGTGTCGAAAGGTGTTACGTCCAGAATTGATTGTTTTGTTGTCGGTGTAATAAAAAGTTCTCGACGAGGTACGTGTTCGCCTTAGACTGTCGTATTTGACCGGTTGAACAATTGACCGCGTGGACTGAATGAGTGTGGTTGCTTCGTCCTTCGGTGCCTTGTCTGCCTGTTCCTCTTTCATGCGGCTTGGCGGTTGCTGGTGCCCTGCCTCATTCGGCTTCGTGCGTCCTCGCTCTTGGAGCAAGGGAGCGATCCATTCTAGCGGCCCATCGTGTCAAAGCAAGGTCCGAAGCGCTGAATCCTTGTATACCATCCCCCCACCCTGTTTGCCACAACATTCGGTCTACTACCAAGGGTTTATTGGCACGGCCATCTCTTACCGTGATGAGTTTTCGTTAGATTCTCAGTCTCGGATCGGTATTCCAGGGACGAGCATGGCTTGAACACAGAGAGTCGAAGAGTGCAGAGTTTTCCGTTTTTACGCTTTTCAAATTCAATGGAAGGTACATACCGCAGCAAAGCGAATTTTTCCGGGTAGTCGGGGTTCTCTTCTCGCCACGGAATTCTTTGCGACAACGGTGACTTCTACCTATGCGTTGTCGAACCCCCCCCTTCCCCCCGCATGATGCGGTGGGAGACAAATGCGAGGACAAAATTCACGGGGCGCTGGGGATGTGTTCACCTCCCCTNGGTGACTTCTACCTATGCGTTGTCGAACCCCCCCCTTCCCCCCGCATGATGCGGTGGGAGACAAATGCGAGGACAAAATTCACGGGGCGCTGGGGATGTGTTCACCTCCCCTCTCTCCTCGAGGGTGAGGAGCGAACTGCTCTGACAGTTTTGCGTAAAGTACCCGGAGAACGAGCCCCCAACCTGTGGGTCGAGATGTCGATCGCCGCCGTAGGATGCACTGGCTGCTTGCAGAATCTCCAATATTGTTGTAAATTGGAAATGTTTTAATGGCACCAGCGATGCTTTGTGTTTCGACAAGATTACGCATCCGCCGAAAGAGAAAAGGGAAGAAACATGCCACACAAGATGTTGATTCGTTCGGGGGGATCCCGCTCCTCACGAGAAGAGTTGAGCAGGCGGCCTGAGGTTATGAGAAGACACGAAGACGCTGTTTTTCAAACAGGAAACAGGAGGGGTGTGCCACAGCAGTCAATCACCGACAGCAACCCAGCCGTTCTCAAAAAAGTTGTTGCGGTTGTCAGCATCAAGTGCTCTCCAACCTGTGCCCGTAGGGTGCACAAAATCCGTTGTCGCCATGACGTTTGAGTTGTTCAGCCCACAGAGCTTGTCAAGATCAAAAACAACTATTACTTAGACTACGCTGCCCTAGCCGCGCTCCCGTTCCCTTGCATGGGTTAACCTAAGCGTTCAAGACAAACTGGTGTGTTTGCAAGGCCGTTCTATTCGTCACCCACTAACCAATAACAATGTACGTTACTCGAAAAGGCCTCCCTCTATGTCTTGGGAGGCCCTCAGCACCAATCAAGAATCGAAAGTCAGCAACTCCCGTAGTCTCCGACGTCAGTCACCCGACTAAACGGGCACCGACTCTCCCTGAGGTAAGAAAACTCGAAGTCCTCCTCGTGGAAAAATCGGCCGCACGGCTGTGACAAGGCTAAGGGAATGTCCGGCATCATGTTCTTGTACAGGCGGGCTCGCGGGGAGCGGGTTCCCGGTGGGACGCGGAACACGTCCTCTCGCTTCAGTGCTCGGAGACACTTCGCCGACGCGACCACAACCATGTACTCGTTTGAATCCTGAGCAGGGTGGGATGGGGAGAAGTTGTTGAGCACCGGGGGGTGGTCAATTCCAAGAGCGTAGATATGAGACAGATCTGTGGATTTGCGCCTACAAAATATCGTGCCAACCCTTCTACGCATGTTTTTCATAGGGGTGCCCTGCTGTAGTCGTTGTCTCGTGAACTCGAAATGTCCTCTGAATCCACCATTGGTGCCTCGAAACCTGCATCGCTTAGATGGTTACGATCCCTTGTCCGGTCAAAGCATGACATATAGTCTATAGAATCTTCGATTACTGAAAAGTTTATATGCTTTCTCGACCGTGTCTAAGTACAAGAATTTTTTTTCGTTGCATCTGCCGTTCTTTAACCGCTGCCAGACGTGTCGTGGAGTCTATTGCCGGTATCTCGATCGCAGGTTCTCGTCGCAGACACACCTCCTGTGCTTCAAGCGTGCGGTTGATGCAGCGGTTGAAGAGCTCTTCTCCAGGCACATAACTTCCCTCCAAGTCGTCGTCATCCGCCCCCTCATCGTCGCTTCCGAGGGCCATTACGTCCGCATCTCCTTCTTTCGCCTCGTGCCATTGCTATGAACATGTAAGGCAAGGCACGCACACGCATAAATCAGACTCAAAACGGATGGGTTGGGGGGAGGTATGCCAAAGAAGCCTGATTCCATGATTAGGTTTAGGTTGTACACCGTGAGGCGTTACTGGTGTCGCATCTAAGCTATTATAGTCTCTAGCATGAACATAATCATGTTTATATAGCATTAACTTCACGGGCCGGAGCTTCCGACAGAGAGTTTTTGGCACCAGCCTCTCTTACCGAGGAGTATTTATTTAGTTAATTATTTTTTGTCTCCCATCGTTGGACTCTGTCGTCTACCCCTCTGGCCCCCATCCTCCACTTCTACCAGCTAGACGACCCAACCGGGGTCACATAGGAGGGGGGGTTGGACCCCCTCCTGCGATTCATATGTAGAGCTGTGGCGTCCCCAACCCTTTTCAATCAGGCGATTTCACAATACCTGTTCTCTTCTTAAGCCTCAACAATCAAGATTCGCCCTAGAGCTTTATTCGTGTACGTTCGAAGAGGGTAGCATACGATAGCTCTTACAGTAGAGTGTGGAGGAGCAACCTGAACCTCGACGTATGGATTAGTTGGCAACGGAGGATAGATGTGCTATACCGATATTTCGGTGCACCCACATTTCCACCACGATGGCGGGCTTTTCTCCCTCCTCCACGTCCTCCCTGAGGCGGGCTGGCCGTAATTAGCTCCAAAGCTTCCTCGTCGGTAAGGCTGCTCGAGAAAAGGCAACATAAGGCAAAGGCATCCACAGAGACAGACGATGTTTCATGTATCGGAGAGGTACAGCGCGGAATGTCCCGGAGTCAGTACCATCGCACTACACTGTAGTAGCACAGTAATCCCCACACCCAAAACAATGGTGGACGCATGTTTCGAATCCCGTGCATGCGGCGTGCTACACAACCGCGTGCAGTTTTTCCGTGCTTCCGCCGTACACGTGCCATCCCGAACGTCATTTGATTTTTCCACGAGCTTAACGATTGTCTTGCACGATTCCCGATTCTGTGGTCGTGGTATGTAGTGGGGGCATATCTTCCATCCGCAACAAGGTTAGTTTTACGATGGAACGTCTAATTATTTCGAGTGCATTTACATTCCAGGAACATGACCAGGGCTGAAGGCCAAAATTCGGGAGGAGGATCGCACCCGTTGTCCAGTTCCACTGAGGTCAGAGTCTCGAAGTCGAATCAACTGCTTGCTTCGTCGTTCCCACAAGCTCTACCGCTGCTTCTGTATTATGCACGACTAGCGGATCTGCTTCGTGCGTTTTCAAGGCTTCTATCGAGCACCACCTAAACTCCGCACGCGCCCAAATTCAACGCACCCGGGGTCCGGCTGAAACTCGACCAGTGGCAAGGACTCAAAGTTGAAGGAACTGCGCACGAAGGGGTGTCGGCACGTCGTGCAGGCGTCACCCCAAGGAAACGGTGCGTCGTGGCGGCCTCTTCCGCCTCCGTCGGTTCTGCGTGACATTTTTGACAATGACGATCCTAGGCTGTTCGACGCGCCCGTGTACGGGCTAAGGAGTGGGTTGCTGGCTCCGCATCGAAAGCAAGCCGCGAAGAGCTCGGGGCTATCCCGTACCGGCTTTGCCTGTTCGAGCGGATACGCGATTTCGCAGTGTTGGTAGACACAGCGGACATATCACCGTGATGCGTGCCACAATTTTCCGTATATTTGTGATGGTTGTCGTGCTCGACACGTAGGAATATTCTTTCGCATTCATCCCCCTTCAAGACTTCGTTCACACAGTACTCAAGTTGCGATGGACGTGCTTGAGATGGGCGATAGTGCACAGCACGATCCTCGACAGCAATGTGTGTGGGTGCGATTCAGTGGTTCGACGAGCGCATTCCACTGATGATCTGCTCGAAAAAGCGAACCAAAGTGAAAGAGTCGAACAGCTGCAAGGGGTCGGTAGGAGCACTCTACGTACCGACAACTTCTGCATAACCTGGACTGCTAGCATGCCGAAATCATTTCGGTGCGCAAGGGAACACTATCACGCTAGTAGATCGTCTGGCTTCAGGTATATTGATATGATCAAACCGCGGGTCGTGTCTTGGTGTGCACAGGTGTGTGCATGTCTGTGGAGAACGTATCCCCAATGCTCCAACACTTGGCCTAGGAATTATGTTTGTTGTCCCAGGCGGATTATTCCTACCAAACGATGCGAAGGGCCGCAAGTATAACTCATAAACACCTAGTTGTCATGTTTCGAACGCACGTGTCTTCGCACCGCCTTCACTCGAAACATTGAGTGCACACATCGACGTGGGTCGCTCCGTTCTTGGTCGTTCTGCTGCCTATTCGCACCCCCGCCCCACCAAAACTTCCCCATGCAAACTCCCACAGATAGTAGGCAGATACTGCTGCGCGTGGTCTTTGGTTAACCGTGACACATCTCGAGGTTTTCGGGTTCAGCGCTTGCCTGGACTGTGAGCATGTCGACATCGATCTGATCTTGCCAGAGGGGAGGCACCCTTTGCCTCTGGAGGCGGTCGTAGGCGAACCGTGCCAGCTTGAACGCGCCCAACACTTTGGCCTGGAAAATGAAAGGATCGAGAAAGTGCTTAACGTTAGCACTTCGATCTCTTGGGGACAGGCGGATAAGCTGAATGACACTTGCGCAGCAAGCGTCGAGTCATGAGAACTAGCAGAAATACTGAATTTCAGGTGCCGTAAACAGAGGTTCTTCAGAACTGAGGTGATACCGTTTGTCTTTGTCGTCCGATCCATCCAATTGATGCGGATTGACACTAATAGGTAAGGGGTCTGAACACGATGGCGGCGTTGCGGTACTCATTGCACCCAGACCTTGGTTTTCTTGAAGGAAAGAGAAGGGGCAGGTCAGCCATTTTCGCAAATTAGGCATTTTCTTGCCTGCATGTCGTTGCCTCTGCCTTAAACGAAAGCGAAGCACATCTCCTGACACATCCCCCCCAATCCCTCCCTACTAACCTAGGGATTCCAGTCCTACATGCGCCGGAATATCCGTATGTCCTTGCTTGACTGTAGCTGCCTCCATTCTTTGGACGTTCTTCCGCTTACACACCTGCTTGGCCAAGGTGTATAGCGTGTGTGCCCTTGATATCCCGCGAGGCGGCTCCGCTTCGCCCAAGGAATTAACGAGGAACCTCGACACCTAGGCCAAGCAGCCGGGTGAAGCAGAGAAAGGCGGGGAATGAAGTGATCAGAGTAAGTACCTGGACGCTACGTACCGTGTGATACCGCGTGGTGTTGGCTGTTGTTGCTGTTCTTGTCGTTCGCCTACTAATGGTGCTGTGATCGATGACAACATGATCACCGAAGAGAAAAAGCAAAGCTGTAGGCAGATTGTATCGATTTAACAGCTGTTCGGCAACATTAAGTTGGCAGGGATACCTACAAAGTCCTCCACCGCATACTTGCAACTCTGCCCCACGGCTCACGCCCCCTTGGCATTTCTGATCAACTTTTCCCCCACGAACCATAACTATGAGGGAATTTCCGGGCCGTGGTTTGGTACTGAGGCAATTTCGTGACTGAAGTGACATGGTCGACTTTTCATATCATGGTCCCATTTCTGCTGAAAGTCCAGGGGAGACATTCTGTCCATAGTCAGCTGTCCTTTTATTAACAGGACACCCTGCCTAAACGCCTGAAGGTTTGCCTGGCAGCACATGGCCACGACAGTCAGCCCCGGATAGGAGCGGGAGCTCGTTTAGCACAGAGGAACAGGAGGTGAGCTAGCTCACATTGGAGCAAGCAAAGGGTTTGGTTATCGCTCGAAGAAGCTTTCAAGGGCGAGGTCGTTTCGAGCACATGATGACAGCAAGGTTGGAAAAACAGGATCGGTGAACACTGCGTCGAAACGGAAACGTTTTCCGAAAAAGAGGATTCCCAAACGCCATTCTATCATTGTCTCCAAGCCAGCATCGTCCAAGTGCAAAGTCACACCGTCGTCTCTCATCACCTGCAGCAAGACCTCCGGCTGTAGGTCGGTGAAGGGGTCGGTGGTGAAAGAGTGCACGTGGTGAAACGCGTGATATAAGTCCGCCAAACGAGAGTGCTCCTCCGCAATCCTCTGAGTCTTTCTGATGTCCTTCTCGCTGCAGTGTCGTGTATATGCGTTTCACGAGAACATGACAATCCGAAACGGGCGAAAAGAGCATCGATAACGGGAAAATCAAAGTATCATTTCTCCGAACATACGATCTACGAAGGAGGGTCACAAAGCCACGAGGACCTAGGAAACCAAGACAAACTACGGATAGTGCAACGCGCGAACTGCAGGGTTTGGTGTTTGATAGAGTCGACACGCTGCTCCTTGGTTGGGTCCACCCACCACACACACATACCTCATTTTCGTTTTGTCCTTCTCGGCTGCTGCGAAAGCCTCAGTCGAAGACCTCCAATAGTAGTAAGAAGCGTCGTCGAACCGGGCTTTCGCCACGGAGTTCAGGCTGTTTGTGTTGCACGTTGGGTGAGAAGCAGGGGAAGTTTCGTGGGAGACGCCATTGTTTCGGCGTTGGTGAGGTTTCGATTGGTTCAACACCCCGACACTTGAGTCCAACAAAACGTCGATGTGGGGTTGGAGAGGGTCACCCCACGTCTCGTGCCTTCGCCGCGATGTTTCATAAGGAACATCTTGTATTGTTTTGTGTGGTCCACGCAGATTGATGGCGGACTGGGATTTCCCCCCATCTTCTTCGGAGACTGACATGAGACTAAAGGAACATGATTACATGGGCAATGATGGACGTACTGAAGCTGTCACATTCTTGAGAGTTTGGTCCAAGGTCCCTCCTCTCTCCCATCCCACAACGAGCCCAGACGAGAAGAAACACATGCATCGCGGGTTCCTAAGCAAGAGAACAAAAACTGTCTCGTAATCGCAAAGCGCAGTCGCGGGCCGATGCTCAACGGGGAGTAATGGTCGGCTGGTGGACAAGTTAACCTGGGGCCGACACCGTACGTCACTCGTCGTCCATCCCTCACATGAGTTGCTCAGTCATGGCCCCGCTCAAATCCCGCCTTCCGGCCCTCTGGAACGCCTCGAGAGCTTCGTCAAACCTCCCATTGTCTCGGAGCCACAGCGCGTAGGGTAGGAAAATGGCGTCGTCGTACTTGCGGCCGTGCTCCTCGGAAAGCTTCACCGCTTCCGACCAGTTCTAATCGCCGTAGTACCAACGCCACATGAGCGAGAAATGGATAGAAGAACATGAGATACCGACACAGCCAGACAGGTGTAGCCTTTGCACTTGTTCGCTGATCTCCTTGTCACCTCCTCTGTCAAAGCCCCTTCGATATATCCTCTATCACATGCTGCACGTGTACTGCGTGCTTCCAATCTGTTGTATAAGACTGGACGAACAGTCACCTTAAGTCTTGCCTTGGAACGTACGATGGTTCCGTGGGATACCATGGTTATTTCCATTGGGTGACTCTCATTGTTCCACCGGAGTTCCATGCTTGTTTCACGAGTGTTTTAGTCTATATCCACTTTGACTCAACAGAGCGTATGAGATACGTAGCACAAGAGAGAAGAGAAAACCAACCTGGTTTTTGACGTAAAGTGCCATGACGTTCGTGAAGTCGTCCATCTTCATGTACGCCTCCTTCGCAAGGTCGTCGAAACCCGCCAAGGACAACTCCTTGCCGCAAACACTCAGGATTTTCGTCTCCGTCTTCGTGACCGACCTGCCACACCGACGTGCCAATTCATCAGGATCACGAATTTCGTGTTCTGCGTGCTCAGGGGAGTAAATTCTGCTTTCGAAGGTGAGAGTAGCAGCTATACCTGTCTTCATTGTCGTTGTCTCACCTGACTATCTCTGCCAGAGCATCCTGCCAACCTTCTCCTCTCCCTTTGATGGTGATCTCAGCGGCCCGAAGCGGCTCCCCGCTCTTGAGGAACAGTTCGGATGCCACCGACCAATCTCCGACCTTCATGTTGACAACATCACCGTGAAAGAATCCCAAACTCACGTCGGATCACAGCAACCAACATCACATCATGTTGCCCTAATATTGAGAGGTGGGCTGGAAACGCTACGCCGGCGCAGAGGGTGACGAAAGATCGTGACCACCATTGCATTTACAGAAACTTCATATCTGAAGGCCAGAGTAGATGCGATGACAATGCACACAATCCCCACCTTTCCACGTGTTGACGTGGCTGCGTGATCATCCAACTACGGTGGTGCATGTGAGCCAACGTTCCCGAGTACAAGCATGCAACCCGCTCGACCAACTTAGGTTGGGGTTGTTGTTTGTGGTGGTGGTATTGGGGGGTGTCACACTTGTATCCTCACTGTTCTTGTTGTTAAATATGGCCGTGGTTGTCGTGTCGTCGTCGGTCGGTAATGTTTCTCAATAAATACACTAAATACGGCATGATAAGACGTGTCCGTACCTCCATCATCGGTGCAATAACCACGGGCAGGTCGTCATCACGAGCTGATCCATTAGAGCGGGGAAAATATACCTTAATACAGGACACAGATACTACGACTCGCGATATGAAACACATTTCATGGTATCACGAATACTCGAGATAGACTCTCCGTCTCACTTCTTCTGCCCATTCTGCCTGGCGTCGAGTCAGCTCCTTGGCATCCACGGACCCCCCCGAAGAGGCTGCGAACACCTTAGCCTCCTCCCATTGGCGGAGGTCGATGAACATCGTGATGGCCTTGTCTGCCATGCCATTCCTCGCCCACGTCTACCATCAGGGCAAAAAGGTAGATGTATGGTCCGGGAAACGCTGAGGGATGTCTCAGATGGTAGAGGTCATGTGTCCTCTTGGCAAAACGAGAAGCCGGACTGTGCATCTCAATGTTTACTCGATATCGCGGCTTTCACTCGAAGGTTTTCTATGTAGGGGTGAAAGGAGGAGCACGAGACTGCTACAACCCATCGATGGGTTCAATCACGGCCGAGCTTCCAAGCTTTGAAGTCGATATCTGCCGTGGTTGAGGCTAATTGTCGGCCAGACACTGTTCTCTGACAAATTTAAGTGTATCCTTGGCACGTACCATCAGTGTGGTAGGGTTCGGCGAACATGCCTTGCCGGCACCCATCAGAAACAGCAACCCTTCGACAAATCGAACAGGTACGCGAGATTGAGCCTGGAATATTGATCAGATTCTTAAAATAAAACCTTGTTGGTTACAGTTGTGGTGGACCCAATATAGGTATTGTTTTCCATGAGGATCGAACCAGCAAAGGCACATTATCCCACACCTTGGCGGCGCCCTGGTAGTCGCCCTGGTGCGCCAACAGCTCGGCCGAGGAATCGGCTTCCATCTTTACCCTGAATAATATTGGTTCCGTTGGATAATGGGTCAACACGACTGACTGACACGGTCGCTTGAGCGTGAAACAACTGGCTATGACTACGTACGGTAGTCTATCTCGGGTTTTTTGTACTCACAACATGAGCAGTCTATATCCCAAGTTTGACTCTACAAGAGGGTGTTGGCATGGTTCCAAACCACTTACTGAAAAGACTTACCACATCCCTCTCGACTGAGGTTGTATCTCGAACGGGTAGTCTTTCTGTTAGGTTATGTTATGTATAGACTACACTTTCTAAAAAAAACTGAATTGCGGTGTTAAGTGCAAGCACTGCCTTACCTGGCTTCGGCGTTGGTCTTCAACAGAGTAGCCTCGTGCATGGTCCTTAGCTCAATGTCGGACAAGATGTCGACAAAGCGAAGGTCCCGGAGCCGGATGAAGGCCTTCCGGCTGACCTCGAATTCCATCGCTTGGAGGGCGGACATGCCCAGGAGCCGCCAATCTCGCTGCACATCGGGCCACATCCATGCCAATGTTTTCATTGCTGATGTTGCCTGGACGAACGTTTCTTGTCTACTACTGTAGCTTGGGTCTTATGCAGAGCAGTTTTCAATACATGAAACGGTAGAATTGGTGCGTTACGTAGTGCTAGTGGTACTCGGGGCGTTTCAAGCTTGGTTGAGTCACCTGGGTCACCCCCAGGCAGGCGACGTCGTGCGCTTTCTGGAAATCTCGTGCCTCGATGTGCCGATAGACGGTCTTGGTTAACGGTACGTCCACCGTGGACAGGGCCACTCCCTTTAAACTGATCACACGGGCCCCTCGATAGCTGGCCACCTCTCCGCCAATGAACTTTACACAACGGTATGGTGCGAAAAGTGAAAAGTGTGGGTCCGGCACCATTTCAGAAAATTCGTTCAAGATATTAACGTTTGGTGTTGTTGCTATTGCTGTCGCGACAAACATAAAACGAAATAGTCGAGACTTCCTCGATAGGACGATCATAAGGTCTTCAAGCCAAAGGTCAGGCACATCTGAATCAGCGTGACAGACGTTTACACGCTGCCGAAAAAAGCGTCCGTGGCGTTCGGCTAGACAAATATCCACGGGGGTGAATCAAATGCGTAGGAATCGAATGTAATCATATTCTGAAATAATTTTCGCCTCAAGCACTTCGCACAATGTTCGAGTGCATGTGGTGCCATCCGACGGGATCAACGCTGTTGTTTGTGTACTTGTTTTTCCCAAGACAGAGTCAGTTCAACCCCGGCGTCCTGTACAAAGAGCCCTGATCCTGTGGAATGACGCTGGTCGGATGGGCGTCTGTTTACCTGCTCTTGCACTGGAAAAGTTCCGTTGCGGACGTAGAGCTTGCCGTTCCCCGAATAGCACAGCATATCTTCCAAAGACGTGTTGAAGGCCACGCTAGCGTGTTCAACAATGCGCAGAGGGAGAGACACAAACGAAAGGCGAGACAGACAGGGGTAGAGTGAGTGAGAAAGTGGAAGCCCACGAGTTGTGGGGTCGCTGGGCCTAGCTAGCCTCTGCGACCCGTTGCCACACTCCCCCCGCAAGAAGATGTAGGCCGTAGTCTCTGGCTATCATCATCAACGTACAAGCAGAACGATGCGAGAAGGGCCATTGCGATTCCCTGCAAAGGAAAAACTCTACCGGTCCTGTATGTTTGTATATAACCTTTGCAGCATACGTCCCGAGCATTGTGACAGGGTTCTGCTCCCGTGCACCAACCCAAAATACACGCACCCTTTTTGTTTGGGTCTGCTTTCTTTCCCTCACCTAGAGGCGCCAGTCTCTTGGAAGTCTACCTCCTTAGACATGACATCGAACACCATAATCCTGCTCTTCGCGTCCACAACGGCCGCCTAACAGGTCGTAAAGTCGGGGTAGGGGTAGACGCCGGGCATGACGGAGGGGGTCATACTTTCTATCGAGAGCGTCGGGTCGTAAAGTGGCACGCCAAATAAGTCGACCATAAATTTGATGTTGGGAACTGGAGGGTGGTTGTGATATGGATTGTATGATGATTCATTACTTTTCAGTGCAGCCAATGCCCGGTCATAATGGAGAGTTACGGCACATGAGTATGCTCGCAAGGTCATACATACGATGGACAGATTATCGCATAAAAATTCGAAAGCATAAGGTTGATTGTGGTATCGACGACAAACAAACACGACGACAATCAATGAGGATATTCACAGAAAGGTGATACATAACTAACTACTGTGGTACTTCGCGGGTCGGACTGACGCCGCACATTCCCTACTTGAGAAAACCGTAGCCGCTAACCCCCCGGTCACCCAATGAAACGAACCACAACCGACAAACCAAATTGGGTTGAATGAAGATCAACCAGAGTCAACGAAACTCAAATTCTTTCTGACCCGGGGGCATGGACAACGGCATCGACGAATCGGCTCACCTTTTTTCGGTGCACTGACATGGCGCAACACACCACCGCCGCCGTGCTTGCTTTGACTAGCACGACAGGAAAGGCGTTGTCCACGAACACTTGGAGCAGCACCCCGTTCTCTAGTCCTAGCAGGAGGGACTCTCCACCGGCCGGGCCGCCATCCACGCTTGCGCTACGTACGGCCGCATCCAGTACCCATTCTCGGACCTTTTTTTTCATTTTTTTGGTTGCAGAGTGGTAGCGTTCAAATAATGTCAGCGGTCGAGGGCCAACCTTCAGAACTTGAACAATCCTGATTTCGGAGGAACTGCGGAAGGCATTGCAGTCCAACCCAAGCAGCCGCCCTCTAGCACTGCTGGACATGAATGTGTATTAATAGTTCGTTTTCAACCTAATGCGGAAGAAGGAGATGGTTCGCTGAGGCAGGGTGCATTCATGGTGTTGGGTCGAACCACAGATGATGACGAAGGCTCCAAGTCGGCGTTCACCGCCAATCCCTGTCAAAACGTACGTTACAAACTCCTTGCTCACCCAACCTGTTTGTTATATCAGAGCGACCGAACCATGGCCCTGAAAAATGTTCGAAAAAACAAACACTGACTCACGACGAAATGCTTGATGATCAAAAGTGTCCAACTCGCAGAGGCAGAACCACCCCCTTTGAAGATAAGCATGAACAAAGAGAACAAGTTTCTTCTGACCAACACGTCTGGCTTGCCTTGGCGCCGGCGAAGTCGAACAGCTGCAGCACTCTCCCCTCACAGAGGACAACGTTGTTCCAGGTAACAAGCAAAAACGAAGAACCTCCCCCACCTCCAGCATCCCTCGACGCTCCCCCCAAGCCATCAACGCTCCCGGTCGAGAGGCGCTGGCTATGCAATGACGATAATCCTTGATGCCTTGCCGCGTCCTCCTTGCTCTCGCTTCCTCGGTTGGAGGACGCCACGGCTAGCGAGGAGATGGTTGAAGCGGAGGACAGTGCTGACGACGACGATGAAGGTACCGCAGAGGGGAGGTATATCTTGTCTTTGAGGCGGTAGCGGAGGTCGTACTTGTCGTCGTGCTGAGTGAGCTCGTACACATGCACCTGGGCCCAGACAGACAGTTGGTGGATTGAGAATGATTTCGCGAAGAGGTCGCTGGCCACCGTGATGACTATTCGAGCGAGTGCAGCACCTGTGAAGCTGTTTGCAGGTACCCTACAGACGTGTCCTCTGCCGTTGCTTCGACAAGCCCATATCCGTGCGGGAGTTTTACTGTGGCAACGGGACGAGGGCGATCGGGCTTGCCATTGACACAGTTCTATGACCATGGCCCCTACGGAAATTTTCCCCCTGACTGAGACACTCACAACCGATGACGATAGCCAGACGTGCCCCTTACCCAGTCAACACCTATGCGCATCGACTAGATCTGTCTAGTGCCGACGGATCTTGCTCAGCAGGCCGAACGAGCTTGCGTAGAAATACATACCACCATACATGAGCTACATGCTATCTTGCTGATTGCTCACCTTGTCCGGAAGTCGGACCGCCAGTCTGTCTCGGAAAATTGCAATCTGCTCCACGTAGTCCCTACACTTGATGCGAACCTGTCGCGAGGAAGGCGAGGGCGTTGGTACACACCATATCACTGTGGTCTTGCCGTTTAAAAAACAAAGAAGATTGTAGCAGCACAGTCCACATGTGCTACGTTCGTTCTCAAAGGAAGCGATCCCCGGCGGTTCAATGCCCGATGCGAACAGCTACATCCTTCACGCACCCAATCTTCTAGGTGCTGCATTTCACGCCACCATTGCGAGTTTAAGGCGACTTTTCCCCCTCTACTTTCCAGCTCAAGGAGTTGATATTCTCGCTACTGCAGTGTTTTAGATCACTGTTCACGTGCCTTTTGCTCCGATACTAGGTGCTGCACAATGACGTCGCTCATGTTCTCACGGTAGGCGTATCGGTCCTGGCAGAAAAGGCCACGAGGAAGAACAAGCAATCGCGGGTCATGGTGTACGGCATTTCCGCCTAAAGTGGGGGAGCACGGGTTTCACCGGAAGTACTGCACACGCAACACCACGACTGACCTAAAACAGCGCTAACTAGCGACAAGGTTTGCCCAACGGAAGAAATCTGCACCAATAAAGCGACATGTCTACTGCAGTAGCGATGTCCTTTCTCCTTGCACAATAAACGGCACCCGTATGACCTATGAGTGTTCCTCGCCTACACCGGCCCCTTCGTTCCTGTTCCCAGATCGCAATTAAATGGTGCCGTGTTGGAAGTTAATAGTTCGCCCATGGACCCACTTGGAAAGACCCCCATCACAAATCCCCGGAACTCGTCCAGACCACCAGGTGTACCATTCCTTCGGGAATCCCAAGCACCTCATTTTGAAGTCACGTCCAGGTCCGAGGACAAAGAGAGAGCCCCATCCCCGCACCTTGTAGATAGCTGTGACGTGCTGAAACTGCAGCTTGTGCATCCCGATCGAGCCCCCGTCGCACCCGACCACGAGCTCGTCGTGGCCAGGTCTCCCGGCCAGCGCCCACACCCACGCCTCCGTTTCACACACTGTGGCCAGTCGTACCCCCTCCTGGCCAACACGGTAGATGCCAAGTCGACAGGGGTTTGGGGGTTGATACGTACGCGAGAGCTGTGCACGCCATGTACCGAAAACGAAGGTCTGGGGGAAATTGGGACCTGTGTGTCACTCAAGAAGCCCTAGGCATGTAACCTTGGTATCATTGAGCAGTTGGGCATCTCTGTAAACCAGAATGCTTTTGTTTGGGAAGCCTCAAGGACGGCGAAACCTGCACTTCGACAGGTGTGTATCTAGCAGCCGGGCACCCGTTCGAGACCTTTCCAGCCGGCCAAGCTATATAAGAGCAATATCCTCCAGTGTTCCTGAACGAGTGCCCCCTAACCAAGGCCTGCCGGCGTATCTACGAAGCGAGAAACCAAAGGGCGGTGGTGTTTGGTTCGAATTCCATCACCTGCACCAGCAACGCCAACCGCACAACGAGGGTCCACCGATGCTTTACAACAGATCTCTGTTCTATGGTAGCGCAAAAACACGATGATGATCGAAGAACGTGCCTTAGTGCAGAGGGTAGCCTTGCGATTGCTCCCTCCGATCGCGATGTAGCTCCCTCCGTTGAGGTACGATATGCTGCAGGGGTTGAACCCGAGCTTGCGGTCCTTCGTGTGCTGCTCCCCTGACGGATAGCAATCAAACCAGGTGTTGGTTCTTTTCGTGTTGCGCGACTTGTTCTAGCAGCGCTAGCTCGGAAGGTGCATTGCAGTCGTTCAGGCTTCCCCTTCTCTCGCAGGAAGAATGCACGATCGGTTGCACACAGGTCACGAAGCAGGTCACGCCTCGCCAAACGGTTTCGATGCACTTGGCACTCCACTCTCTCCTCATCCGCTTCGACTCTGTTGGCAGCCACAATGTATTGTTCTTTGGCCTTCCACAGGCGTACAACAAGTACCACGAATAAGGAGAACTCCCCCATCACGCAACGCCATCCGATGAATATTTACCCACCCTTCGAACCCGACGCCCAAAGAGGTAAAACTCGGCTGGGAGAAGAGTTATCCTTGCGTCACGAAGGGTTACGAGAATGGTGGATCATGAAAATGTGTCACGCAGAGAGAACCTCAGCAGCAATAGATATGGTATACCAGGAAAGTACTTGGAATAGTGCAGATTCGAACGCGAATGCAAAACAACTCTGAAATGGTATCTTATTCACCCGCTTCAACATTCTCTTCGGCTGCAGACACGCACCTGAGAGCAGGTAAAAGCTGAGCGTCTGATCCCAACAGCCCAGAGCGAGCACCTCCCCGTCTTCCTGTGCAGGACACCAGGCCAAACACCACACCGGCGCGCCCCTACCTCGTGTGTCCACGAGGGAGAAGATAGAAAAAAGGCGAAACATGTGGAGTATTTGAGCTACGGGGCTTGTTGTCAATGCAAAGAACCCAAGCTCCCTTGGGGAGAGGATGCATGCTATTAATACCGTAGATCAAACAACTTGCCGAGGTATCGCTACTTCGTTCGCCCACCATCCTATATTCATGCGCGGCAGATCAGACCGGAGATGGCAATGTACTGTACTGCAAGATCCTTGTAGAGGCTAGTGTATTCCATCAGGCGTGAGGCAATGTGAAGATATTTGATCATGAAAGGAACAAGGCAGATGGGACATTGAGTCACAATTAAAACACCAGGGCATCACAACAAGCACAGCGCGAAATCCTACAACAGTATTCTCCAAACGCGCCGGAATGTTCGTGGTAACGCACCGGGTGATGGTGACTTTCTCAACACCATTGACGTCCCTGATGCCCACGTTCCCGTCAAAGAACCCCAGAGCTAGGTGTAGCCCATCCGGACTCCAACCCGCGGAGAGAATCTTCGCGTGAACCTGGCACATCCAAGTAGGCAAAATATGGCACGTGCTATGTAGGTTCCAAGGTGGAGGGGTTCTGCATCGAAAGCCTTGGCTCATGGCAACTACTGTGTTGTGCCGCCGGTGGGAGCTAATGGATGGTCCAAAAAATCCCCCTCCTCTAATCTTGCAAGCACCTTGTGCTTGACGACGGATTTCTGCTCTTGGCGCCAAAGGCCGAAGTCGAACTGCGTGCACGACGCCAGCTTTGTCGTGCCAGGGGAATAGGCCAGGCGGATGATGGACTCGTTGTGTGTGTACTTCAGGACGCCCTCGGCCTTGCTAGTCCAGATGATAACCGTGTGGTCAGCCCCTCCAGAGGCGAAGTGCTTTCCGTCCTTGGCGTAGTCGACAGTGAAAACCTGGCCGTAGGTAGAGCGTTGCCATGTCGCACAGGCAGTGCGTGCCCACCAATCGAAACAAGAACAAGGAGGGTGATGCTGCATGCACCGTGTATGGGGTTAATTGGGACCTTTCCATGTACTTTTTCCTATGCCAAGCTTGAGGAGGACTCTCAGATTACTCTAACCATCACGTCAGGGGTTAAGAGCTGAACTTTTTGAATTCGATGAAACATGAACACGCGCACGCACAACATGCGGGGGGATGAAAGCAATATGACGCCAAATCCTCTCACGGTATCCTTGTGGCCCCGCAAAGAGTTGACGAGCTCTCCCTTCGCGGCATCGTAAACAAGCACTCGGCATTCGACCGCAACGATCAACTTAGAACCGTCCGGGCTGAAGCACAAGTCGTTAATAGCGTTGCTCTTGGGCTTGTCTTCCCTCTCTGGCACCTGCGGACCAAATGAGGAAGCACAAGCAGAGGCGGCGCGATCAGCTCACGGTGAGAGCTGCCGAAAAGGCCTGTACCCGACCATACAAGCTAAATAGAGTGTGGTCTATTATATAGGTTGGTCACAGATGCTTTTATTTGAAGCGTACTTGACTGCGTGAAACCGCTGTTTTCCCTGATCTCATATCGAGTGGCTGATCCTTCTACGTTGCCCACTTCTCTCAACCCGGACCCTCTGCACCAGAAGCCTCAAACATATCCGGGATACTTCTGTACCTCTCTCGCGCCTGGTGCAAAGATATCAACGTATGTAAATCTCCCACTTTCAGTATTTGAACCGAAGAAGGATTTTTTATACCAACACAATCGGAAATCACATACCTGATCTGACCAGCTGACCTCAGACTTCATGGTACCGTGACGGGACCACAGGTTGCACTGGCCGTCCTCTCCTTGGCCCGCTCCGCATCTGTCTCTCTGTTCTTGGCATGTGGAGACGGGACCGTTTTCTTTCTGAACCAAAAAAGCTGGCCGGAGACTGGAACACCCGATCTACCAAAGAAGTTGCGCCGCATTTCGAACGCGGGCACTCTATCTAGACATCTAGACTGCTGTGTTAGCTTGCGCCTGTTAGCCCTAACTAACCCTATACGAAGCCAGGAGAGCACCGAGTACACTGCGTGAAAGCCATGGGGCGCAACGGCAAGGATAAGCGGGACATGTTCTACAGGAAGGCCAAGGAGGTAAAGCAGCTGCTGTAACACCTGCAGTCGTGCTATCCTCCTGCACTGCTGTTGCTCTGTTGCTGGTAGATATACCAATATGAACCTGATTTGCCCAGCAGTGCGATTCTTAGGTTCGTATACTGCTACTAGTGCTCCCTTTGTCGCTGTCCCAGGATCAGACACTTACGGCGTGCTCTTGGCTGGCACGTGCGTCGTCTCTTGCAGGTCGGCTTCCGAGCACGTAGCGCGTTCAAGTTGTTGCAGCTTGACGAGGAGTTTGGGCTATTCGAAGGAGTCACCAAGGCCGTCGATCTATGCGCTGCCCCCGGGAGCTGGAGTCAAGTGAGACAGACGCACAAGGCACTACTGCAGCATGCCCGGTCCCGCGGATGCAGGACAAGGGGTTCACTTTCATTGCTGGGTGCCATCAAGTTACAAATTAACATTTAGAGCTGCGGCCAATCTTGTGCTTCATGGCATGCGGTGCAGCGGCGCCACCTGGATTGTCTCGCATCCCGTCCCATATGGAGGATGCAGCGATGGTTGTACTGGGTCATGTGTGTCTCTACTTCGCTACTGGTGGCGGTCGAAAGCTGACCTGACTGCCAATCACCCCTGTATACCTTGCTGCCCGATGGCAGCATGTACAAACAGCATCGTGTTGTTGGCACTGTCATCCTCCCGTTCGCCAGCATCACCTCCTTGGGACATGAACGTTGCTAACGACGACAGAGAACAACAGCGAAAGCACCCTTCCGCTCAACCCCACCATGCTGCATGATGTCGTTGCCCCCCCCCCAACCACGTAACAGGTGCTCGCCAGCAAGCTCTTGGGAGACAAACGTGACACACCCGCTGCTGCTGGCTGCGAGAACGCCAAGGCTCAACTCGATGATTGCGACGGCAGCGGGGGCGCAAGAGGGGCGCCTCTCTCCACTGCTGTGGCAACGGACAACGGCGAATTCGATGCAGCTTCCGCGGCAGGGCCAGAGGCCAAAGGCGCCACGGTTATCGCAGGCAGCGGTATTGGCGCCACTGATGAGAGCGGTGACATTGACCCGGAGGGGGAGGAGGCGGGGCCGAGACGACATCACCGAGCAGGGGTAGATTGCGCAGACACGCAGACAGGGGCAGAAAGCGAGGGAAGAGCAAAGGACACAGAGGAAGAGGAGGTTCGAATTGTGGCTGTGGATTTGCAGGGGATGGCGCCCATCGAGGGAGTCAAGCAGCTCCAGGTGGGTCGTGAGCCAGCAGGACAGCGACAGGTCATGCTTGTGGTCGTTTGTTAGAGACTTGGGCACTGAACGGTCGGTTCTTGAGATTGTTTGTGTCCTCGGCTTGGTAGACGCTGAATGAGACGACTGGTCTGCTAATTTGTAGCAGGTGTAGCATACCGTTGAGCCTCGCAAATTCTCTTCACACCTTGCATGACTGAGCGAAGCGGCGCCCAGCTCGTCGGCCAAGGGGTGTCCATTTTCATTTTGAGACGGTTTCAAGTCCTACATACGTCGACACTCACGTAGGTGGTGTTCTTGTCCCATTGTTTTTTTTGTAGTCTGCAGAACACAGAAAAAAGTCTTTCGGTATCAACTAACGCCGTGCCGTTTCACCGCAACATAGCCCGCCGCGTTGCTCATTGCGCCGCAGGGTGACATCACCTCTGTAAAAACTGCGGAGGCGATCATCGACCACTTCCGAGGAGGGCTGGCCGAGCTGGTGGTGTGTGACGGCGCGCCGGACGTGACCGGCCTGCACGATATCGACGAGTATCTACAAGCGCAGGTAAATCTTGGCCTCGTTGTTGTTGGTGTCATCAGCGAGGGGGTCGTTGTTGGACGTACAATTATCTCAAGTTTTTGTCTGCAACCCGGGTGCTCCCCCCCCCGATCCCTCGAATGCTGATGCTCCCTTGAAAGGCACCTGTGATACTGTAAGAACACCGTGGATCACCAAGTGATAAAACGATCGATTAACATCAATCCAAGCTAATCGTCACCCCCACCCCCCGGTCCTATCCATCACACGCCTTGCTCTCGTCGAAAAGCTCCTTCTAGCAGCCCTCAACATCACTGCTCACGTCTTGTCGCCTGGGGGTACCTTCGTGGCAAAGATCTTCAGGGGGCGGGACTCGAGCCTGCTCTACAGCCAGCTGCGGCTGCTGTTCGAGCGGGTGACTATTGCCAAGCCACGCAGCAGCCGCAGCAGCTCCATCGAGGCATTCGTCGTGTGCCGCGTGTACGCCCCGCCTGAGGGCTTCGAGGCATCCATGCTCACGCCGCTGTTAGACCACGCTTATTCGGCCACCAACGAGCGGTGAGAGATGCTCGTATGTTTGCCGTGTTTCCTGCCTAAACTACCTCTCATTTTTGTATGTAGACCCTTTTTTTGTGGTACAACGGGTGCGAGATCCGATCTGAAGTATGTGTCGGGGGGGGGGGG